TATCTAAACCCAGTGCTCACGTCTACTCTTGAATCTACTCTTGAATCTACTCTATTCAGTAAACTGTATATCTCTGTATTATCAATCTTTTCCAGTTTTTAAGAGAAAGCAATTCTTAATGTCTGGGTTTAGGCATTTGACCAAAACAGGTTCAGAAAGAAAACCGTGCACCAAAATGAAGGGGAAACCAAAATATTGCACAGGGTGTGAAACCCACACAGTATGGAAAGGACACGTGTTGTGCAGTGGAGAGGGAATCCCACCAGAGGTGTTGAAGCTATAGCAGAGGGAGGAGGGTATCCCCACGTAGGTGCAGGATGTGGGGCACCATCCCCAACTAGCGCAGATGTCACAGCTGAAGCAGGATGAGCAGGGCCCTTCACAAGGGGTAAAGCCATTGGTACTAGCATCAGTGCCCATGTAGATTGAGAAGGTCACCCATGCAGGAATCAAAATTAACAGTGAGCTGGCAAAGGATATCAGAGCTAATGCAGGTTGTGAGGCAGAAGAGGGAAGTTGTCTGCAAGGAGAGTGTAGGTGGCAATGACAGCAGGACATTAGTGTTGCACAGAGACGTTGATCCCATAAGTCAGTGTAGTAAGGATAATTAGAGCCAAGACACCCAGGGAGAAATGTTAGAAATATTTTAAAAGAGCATACTAGAATCAACTCTATGATTCTTGACTGTAGCTGTATCAGTGACAATTCATGGTTTATGTAGATATAGGTAAAAACATAGATGAATAGATGATGATAGATAGATGATAGATAGACAATTGATAGATCATCTTCTCTAGAAGCAATGATACATCAGTTCCACTGCATACATTTAGTGTGTAGATCTTATTTTTCTGAGTACCAATTTGTACTAAAAGGAATCAGTAATCTTTGGAGAAATGGTTGATGTCAGGTCTAAAATAGGGGAAGTGGAAGATGAGCCTGTACCATATACTGCCAGAAACTAAAAAAGTGCTCAGAGAATGACGGGGTAAAAACAGCAGGTAGTTAGAGCCAGTGTGAATGAGGCTCCCATTGGACAAATCAGAGGAGTGGTGACTATGAAAGTAAATGATGATGGTAGCAGATTATAACCCATCTAAGAAAATACAGATCCATGTCTGTATTTCAATTAGGAGGGGGATATTCATGAAGCATCAAGAACATATCCACAAATTCTTATCTCTTTCAAGGAAAACAAGAGTGAAGGTGCAGGGATAAGCCTGGCAGACACCCGCTTCAGCAGGAGTCAAACTGAACCTCGTCAGTCACGGGGCAGATGGAAATCACGCACATCCCAGTAGGATGCAGTGAGAGCACAGTATCGCTTTTGGATCTTCCTGCAACAGGCACGCTAAGCAGAGTTGAATCTTGTAGAAAATTCAACCAAATTTAATTGACAATCTACATGGTAACTGGTGTGTAATCTTCAAAAGCAATAAGTTTATAAAGTCCAAACAAGGACTGTGACACTGTTCTAGATGGAAGACAACTAGAAAGGTACAAGCCACCAAAGGCAACCCATGAATCATTTTGTTACAAAAGATATTATCAGAACAATTAAGAAAAGTTGAAATAAACCTGAGGATTAGATGGAGTGATACACAAATAATGATACCCCGATTCCACAAATGTGTTGGTTTATGTAGGAAAATGTCTTGTCTAAAGGAAATACATAGCAAAGTCTTAAAGGGTGGGGCTATGAGGTCATCAAGTTACTCTCAATGGATTTGGGGAAGAAAGTGTTACTTTGTACTATACTTACAAACTTTCTGTAAATGTGAAATTGTTTCAATATTTTAAAAATAAAAATGGCAGCTGTTAAGAGTATGCCCAAGCTATTCTAATCTAAAGTATTTTGTAATGGCACTGAGCCATACCTGTTACAGTGATAAGACACGGAAATTTACTCTAGATGCACAAAGATAACACTATGCTTTCTCAAAAGTGCGTAGTTCACAGACAAATTATAATTTGAAGACACAGGTCTCTTTAGTATCCATCAACTAAGTGGCCATCCTATTCTTGGTTTGGGGACCTCAATGGTCTACCTCCTCGCTACCAATGTAACTTGTTTGCTTTGGTTTGTTTGAGACTGGGTCCTGCTCTGTCCCCTACACTGGAGCACAGTGGCAAGATCACAGCTTACTCCAACCTCAACCTCTTCGGCTTAAACAAACCTCTTGTCTCAACCTCCCCAGTAGCCAGAACCACAGGTGTGTGTCAGCGCTCTTGGCTAATTTTTTCATTTGTTGTGGAGATGGGGTCTTGCTGTGTTGTCTAAGCTAGGCTCAAAGTGCTGGGCTCAAGTAATTCTACAGTCTTAGCCTTTCAAATGCTGGGATTATAGGTGTTAGCCACTTTGCCTAGTGCCTTGTAACTTTATTTCTCTCAGCTCATCAGCATGAAAGTTCTGACTAAGGATGCCAAACTTGATTATCAAAAAATAAAAATCAAATCAAATAGTTTCTTTCATCAACCAAATAGGATGGCCATGAAACTGAAGCCTGAATTAGGATAAATGTTTAACCCTGAATACCCCAGAATCACTGAGGATCAATTCTCTTCAAAGTAGGAGGAAGACAAGATCACATCACCTGGGGAATTGCTGAGTTTCAGGGAAGACGTGGAGGAAGGGAGGATGAGGCTGGAGACAAAGCTAGCTCTGCTGCCAACTCATCAAGGCCAGGGAGCCCTCAACAACCTGCTGGTTCATAAAGGGGCCCTGCGGACACTGACAGAGCATGGTGGTTGGAGGTCTCCAATCTTGGATTTCAATGGAGCTATCGAGTGTCTCAGTAATAACACATCAATCAAAGCTACAAGCACACCCAACAAGAGGGGCCTCTTGCTCTGGGCCCCAGAATTCAAGGCCCCTCACCTGGCTCTCCTCCAGTCTTTCCCACAGAAAGATTGTGCTAATATAGAGCCAATTTTCTTCTACATCACACCCTGGTACTTGGGGCCCTGAAATTACAAATTCGAATGCTCTAACCTTAACTTCCAGGCAGTTGGCCCTTTCTCTGGGCTCCTTCTCCCGAGAGTAGCCATGGAGTAGGCGTTCCCCCTCAGGCACAAAGTGAGGCCAGGGTACTGCTGCTGGGAAGCAGGATGGCATGTGAATGTGTGGGAACTGCCTGTATATGTGTTCAGGAGACCTTGTGTGGTGTGGGAAAAGCAAGAGGTGAGGGAATGGCAGTAAAGTCCCAATTGCAACCCTAAAGCATGACCTGCTATCCCCACACTGCCAGGTGCTGGTGAAGAACCTTGAGAAGCGAAAAATTTCTAAATTCAGACTTGGGCTTCCAGATATTCAACCTGTAGCCAAAATAGATTAGAATGGTCTAGATTTACACTCCTCCCTGGATTAACTAAAACACAGCACAAAATACATGAAACAATTCTTTTCAAGAAATTGGATATTAGAAATTAAGGATATTGAGCCCAGACGGTTTTAAATGAAAGGGGATGAAATTTGGATTGATCCATCTGAGACCCTGAGGAGAGTTTCCAGAGCATTGTGAAGGAAAAGGAAATCCATGAGGTACCTGCGAGTGTCCCTGAATAGAGGAAAAGGAATTGGTGGTCCAGAAAGACAGAGAAACAGAGGAGGAAGTTCAGAGAGAGCCCAAGCTATCCCCGGATGCTTCCCTCAGTATTCCTCAGAGCACTGATGAGTACATGCATGTGGAGACCCTACCTAAGGGTGCAGAAAGACTGACTAAAGGATTACAGGTGGATTCCTCAGTCTCCTCTTTTCGCGTCATGAGATACTGCAGCTGACTGAGAACCTGGTGGCTCCTCTGAGCTAATTTGTCACACACCTTTGATGACATGAAGGTTATTCATGTTGGCCTTCTCTAGTAGGTTCACCTGGAAAGCATTATATATAGCAAGAAAAAAGGAGGCAACAATGCCCTCAGTGTAGAGTGGTCGTTAGTATTGGTTACAAATGTCAACTGCACTAAGCATAAAGGGATTCATTATGGGATATTAAATAGCTCAAAAATTGTTGGGAAGCCTTAAGAACAGGCCCCAGGCAGAGCGTGTGGAACAGTCACAAAAACTGCACTGCCAATTCAGTCTGCAGAGGAGCCCTTACTGCCTGAGATCCCATGGACATTTCAAAAAATTTGAAGTGAAAGAAAACACATATCAACATTTGTGGGATGCAAGAAGGCATTGAATTTATAACCTTGAATTTCTAGAAATATTCATGCATTTTAGCAAATACATTTTCAAACCAATCCCCTGAGTTGCCACCCTGACATACGAGTACAACAAGAGCAAATTGTGCTCAAAATATTTTATTCTTAAAAATGTGGGCATGTGATGAGCACACGTCTAGTATTGCAGCAAAGAAGTCACATCAGCCTGGAAATAAAAACCCACATTAGCAGCTTCACAAGAGAAAGTGGATGGGCAGGGCGAGTAAGTGTGCAGAGAAAACCGGAAGATAGAAAAAGTGAAAATAGGAATCATGTAATATTAATATGGGCTGTGCAAGTGTGAGACCCCTGTGAGCCTTGACTTGCTCAAAAGCAAAAATCGTGCAGTGCAGACAGCTTTCCTTCCTCCAGAGGGTGGGTGAGAGTGGGGTCATTTGGCAAAAGGAGGAGAAAGTGCCCTGAAGGTCATCAGAGGCGGCAGGTGAGGTCACGACCCACTAGGATCCCCTCCCAGTGACGTGAATGAGCATCCCTGAAGCCATGAGGACAGCAGGGAACTTCATGGCTGCTCCAGAGAGGACATGGCAGCCACTCCTTGGAGAATCTGTGGGGCCTGAGCACCCAATATTTGAAGGAAAGAAGAGTCTCTAGGAGGCTTCCCGGAGGGCCCTGGCCCTGTTTGCACAGAAGCGGAGCCCATGCCTGTAAGTGAGGACTCATGGCCTCTTTTTCAAAGACTGTCCAGCCATCTTCGCCTGAGCCCACCTGCTGTGGGCTCCATCTCTGGGCGCTGCAGTTACTGGTGCTGCACTGAGAGGCTGAGCATCCTAGAGAGGCTGTGTTTGAGATTCTCAGGCTGTGCAGGGTCCTGGTGACTGTCCCGCTCACAGGAGAACATGCAGCATCTCCAGGCTGCAAACTGGTGCCTGTGATGAAGAAATGAATAAAATTTTGATTGTATGTGTGTCCTTACTGGTTGGTATGTGTAAAAATATACTCTGGAGACTTGTCACAAATTTGGTCTTATACACCACTTGCGAAAAACCTAATTGTTACTGTCTATATGGTCTGTCCGGTTAAAGCTACAGATTTAATTATACTTGTCATGGAATCCATTATCTTTAATAGAAAATCGTCTCTAATATAACACACTTCCTTAAATCTGGATTACTTTATCCTGTTGATTGTAACAT